GCTTTTGCCTACCTCAATCATTTCTCTATTTATCATGATGTTTTTTGTCATTGCATAATATATTTATTTATACATGAATAAATTGGTGAATATGTTGGAGTAGAAGGTATTAAGCAGAATCATCATCAATATTTTTAATAAAACATACTCAAAGTTTTCTGGATTGAATTAAAATGATATATTTATTGTTTGTATTTATCATAGTTTTTCTCAAGGAAATTTCACTTATCAAGGAGAACTTTATATCTAGTTTAGATTGATGAGTATGTACCCTTTGTAAGGAAGGTCATTCAGGGAGCATCCTAATGCTTCACTCACTGGGTCACCAGCCCTCCTTAAAGTCTTCCTACTATACATGTATTTATTTCTTTGAACACAAATCTTATTTCTTTCTGAACAATAAGATGTATTGGGAATTAAGGTATCAGAGATATCAGAGAAAAGCTGGCCTTTAAAGTCTCTCTCATAATCCTGAAGTTTTATGTTTCTGAGATTTTCTTTTGCTGTTTTCTTTTTAATTGACAGTAACATTATAAATCTGTGGAATTTCTAAATAAAATGCAATTTTTGTTTCAGAGTAATTATCTTTGAAACATAACCTTCACAAAAAAGTGTTTTATTGTCTTATAGGAGTACATTAGGGTATAAAATCAATCATTTAGCAACTCAGTAGAACATTTCATTTTTTTTTTTTAAATCTTTCTCAGAGAAGCCACTATATACTTCCAATTTAACTTTTTTTCCCCTTTCCTAATGGAATCATATAAGTAAATAAAATAACCTTTCAAAGTCATTAAAACTTTATAGAAAATTAGTGGCTGTATGATAGATTGCTTTTCCTTTGTTTGCAGCAGACAGGGTAGCTTGAAGTCTTGAGTGCGATTATGACACATAAAATAGCATCTTCTTTCTTAGGGAACAGATTTGGACTTAAAAATGCATGGATTCGGTACTCTGCTTTGAAATTAGACAGATGTTTATACATATCAGACGTACGGACTATTAGTCCCTGCCCTCAACAACGCAACCATTCACCCAATAAGAAAGAGAAAAGTTGTTCTTAAGAAACAGACCTATTCATAATAGCACTCTTAGTTACATGGTTGCAAAGTTAAGGCAACATTAGATGTGATAAGGAGATACTGATAACACTGCACACATTTGGACTTCCTTGGTCTATGGTTAATTATCACCGGATGTACTTTCATAATAGCTTATTACAATGATGTTAGATTGATGGTGGCCTTGAGTGGGTAAGCTTAATTTGAGCTGTATTAGACAAATCTGCTGCAAAAGACACCTTTTAAATGTGAAAGAGCAAAAATGTTACTTTGAAGGTTAAGGTGCACCCGACCCAAGCCATGGTATTTTCAATTACCTAAAATGCATGTAAAAGCTGGACAATGAGTAAGGAAGACTTGACAATAATTGATGCATTTTAATTATAGCATTGGAGAAGAATATTGAAAGTACCGTAGATGGCCAAAGAGTCCTGGTGTGGGACTGTAAAGTTAGCAGTTGAAACCTACCAGGCACTCCTCCTAAATCCTAAAGAAGGTCTCTATGAGTTGAAATCAACTTGACAGCACTTAACAACAACTACATGAACTACTAAAAGAATAAACGAGTCTGCTTTGGAAGAAGTCCATCCTCCTTAGAAGGAGAATGGCAAGACGAAGTCTCATGAACCTTACATATATTATCAGGATGGACCAGACCCAGGAAAGGACATATACTCAACAAAGTAGAGCATCAGCAAGAAAGTGGAGATGGACTGACACAGTGGCTATATCCGTGGCTTCAAATGGGAAAACAATTGAGAGGATGGCACAGCCATGGTCAGTGTTTCATTCTGTTTTGTTGTACCTAGTGTTGCTATGAGTCAGAACCTAATGGATGGCACCTAACACTCCATTTCCTATTGCTCCATAAAAGAATAACTTCAAAATGTAACCACAGAAAACAATAGACGTTTATGATCTCACCAAGTTTTCGTGGTTAGCACTTTGGGACCCGCTTAGTTGTGTGGTTCTGGTACACGGTCTCTTGTGCACTTGGAGCCAAGATGTCAGCTGGGCTCCAGTCATCTGAAGGCTGGAAGACAGATTTTCTAGGTGGCTCCTTCATATGCCTGCCACGTCGGCGCTGGTGGTTGGTAGGAGGCCTCAGTTCTTGCCCCAGTTTCTCACTTCTTATGACATTGTAGCTGCTTCCCCTGGGATGAACCACCCAAGAGAGAACAAGACAGAGCCCAAAATAAGTACATTTTATCACCTAGTCATAGAAGTTACAAACCATCATTTCCACAACATTTCATTGTGTTTATGGTGTTAGGTGGCATCAAGTCGATTCTGACTCATGGTGACCCTATGAATGAATTGCTGCCCAGTCTTGGGCCATCCTCACAGTCCTTGGCCTGTTTAAGCTAAACTTACTGAGGGTCTTCTTTTTCACGGACTCTGTAGTTTACCAAGCATGACGTTTCTCTCTAAGGACTGATAACATATCCAAGTGACATGTGCCCAACCAAGTCTTCCCAGGCTGGCCTCTAAAGATCATTCTGGCCACACTTCTTTCAAGACAGACGTGTCTGTTCTTCGAGTAGCCCATGGTATAGTCAATAGTCTTCCCCAGCACCATAATCCAAATACAGCCATTTCTTCTGGATCTTCTTTATCTGTTGGCCAGCTGTCACATGCATATGTGGTGATTGAAAGTACCATCACTTGCATCAGGCATACCTCAGTCTTCAAAGTGATTTGTTTACTTTCTAACACTTTAAAATGGTCATTTACAACAGATTGTCCAATAGAACATCACTGATTTCATGACTAGGGGGTCCTCATGGCACAGTGGGTTAAGCATTGGTTTAACTACAAGGTCTGAAGTTCAAATCCACCAGCTGCTCCATGGAAAATATGTGGTTGACTGCTTCCGTAAAAATATATAGTCCCAGAAACCCGATGGAACAGTTCTCCTCTGTACTGCGCAGTCACTTTGAGCCAGAATTGACTTGGTGGCAGTGCGTTTGGGTTTGATTTGAGGACTTGCAACACTTGTGATGAAAGTTTGGTTACATAGGTCTTACTATATTCTTGTTAAGTGTCATCGAGTCTATTCTTACTCATAGCGTGTCTGAGGAGGGAATGGTAGACTGGAACTGCCAACCTTATAGTTGGTAGTCCAGTGCTTATCCTACAGTGCCACACCAGGACTCCTCACGTTACAGAGGCCAGCTCTGTTTAGTGTGAGAGGTTACTATTCAAGTGTATGAACTTCAGGAAGTGAAGCTATTCAGGGCCATTTTGGAAGCTGATTTCCACAGAGTACAACAATTCTTCTTTTGAATTGTTAATAAAGCTTGTCTCAAGAAATGATGCCTTCTTCTTCTTGTCCTTTTTTTAAACATCCCCTCAGCTCTCCATTCAGTACCTCTTAATCAACTGTCCACTTATTTCCAGATGCCAGTACTTTCAAGTTGAACCCTTATTCCTCAGAACACTGCTGTGGTCCACTTCCCATCCTTCCTTCCTCTTGAATTCAGCATAATAAGGGGCATAAAAAAACTTATGGAAAAATGGAACTTGAAGGTAATGGGATTCTTCCTTGGAGTTTTCTAAGCCCCATCAGGTATTTATTGAGGGTAAACTATGTGCCCGCCAATGCTTGTGAACAAAATCACTTCCTTCACAAAACTTACCCTTTATAGCAGTTGCTCTTCATAATCCGTGACCCCTAATGACCCACAACTTCCATTTTGTCCTATTAGGATCCTGCTAAAATTGCTACATATCTAATAGGACAAATAAACTCAACCTAAGATATCAGTGATTAGTGATACAGGCATTTGATTATTTAACCCACAGAAAAACCAAGTGGGAGTTTAAGGCACGGAGATAACTAAGGTACAGTCAAGTGACTTCTTCACATAATAAAATCATTAATATAGTTTTCACCATGCACATATCACGTAAGGATCATCAGCAACTAGTTACATAGCTCATTTTGCCATTTCCTTTCAAAATTGACACACTATGATATAAATTTCCACAAATATGGTGAATAAATATGGACTTCTGGTGTGGCACTGTAGGATCGGCACTGTACTTTCAACTACAGGTCTGGAGTTCAAATACACCAGCTGTTCCTCAGAAACCATACACATGGTCACTATGAGTCAGAACCTAATTGACAGCACTTAACAAGAACAGCAATGATAAATATGGTGAAGAGACTTTTGTTTGAACCACAAGATCGGCGGTTCAAACTCACCAGCCTCTCCTTTGAAACTCTATACAGAGCTGCTACGACCCAGAACCTATTTGATGGCCATCAACAACAACAGCAACAAATATGTATATAAGAAAGTGTTCATTTAACAACTAAATATGTATAATTCAGTGACACTGATTACGATCATCATGTGCAGCCATTATCACTGTCCTTTCCTTAATTATTCTACCAGAATCACAGAAGTGCAGTACTTCTTAAACAATGACTTTCCATGCCCTCCCTCCCCTTCCTGTTAGCCCCTAGTAAGCTTTCATCTGTATATATTTGCTTCCTTTATATAAGTAAGTGATTGTCTCCTTCACGGTATATGTTTGCTGGCTAGTCCAGTGTTTCAGGACTTCTGACATGTTATACCTGTAATTAACTCTAAAACATCTTTCTATGGGGCTTTGTTTATTTTGTTTTTTCTAGTTTTAAAACTGTTTGGGCCAATAAGTCTTTCTTTCAATGTCAGATTGGTCAACATTGAGGAGGAAGTAAATGGAAACTAATGACATATTCATCAAGTTGATGACGGGAATGATTCATAGGATCCAATCACTTAACACTTTCATAAAATCGATATCAAGGAAAGAAAAGGGATTCTTATACTAGTAAACTGTATTTGTACTGTCAGTACGCAGTGATTTATGATGCACCTGTGGCTGGGATTAGGATATTATAAATGGAGGAAGAATAGAAGGCTCATTAATTTTTTATCCCCACAGGTGGAAGACATGCAGTGGGCTAAGAGAGAGCACGTTCAGCCAGCGTCTGTCTGCAGTCTGCCATGTAAGCCCGGGGAGCGGAAGAAGAAGGTGAAAGGAGTCCCTTGCTGTTGGCACTGTGAGCGTTGTGAAGGTTACAATTACCAGGTGGATGAAGTCTCCTGTGAACTTTGCCCTTTGGATCAGAGACCCAACCTCAACCGCACAGGCTGCCAGCTAATCCCCATCATCAAATTGGAGTGGCATTCTCCCTGGGCCGTAGTGCCTGTGTTCATTGCAATATTGGGCATCATCGCAACCACTTTTGTGATTCTGACCTTCGTCCGCTATAATGACACACCTATTGTGAGAGCTTCAGGACGGGAGCTTAGCTATGTGCTCCTCACAGGGATTTTTCTCTGTTATTCGATCACCTTTTTAATGATTGCCACACCAGATACAGTCATATGCTCCTTCCGCCGGATCTTCTTAGGACTTGGCATGTGCTTCAGCTATGCAGCTCTTCTTACCAAAACCAACCGAATCCACCGAATATTTGAGCAGGGGAAGAAATCCGTCACAGCGCCTAAGTTTATCAGCCCAGCGTCCCAGCTGGTGATCACATTCAGTCTCATCTCCATACAGCTCCTTGGGGTGTTTGTCTGGTTTGTGGTGGATCCCCCCCACATCATCATTGACTATGGAGAGCAGCGGACACTGGACCCAGAGAATGCCCGGGGAGTGCTCAAGTGTGACATTTCTGACCTCTCACTCATTTGTTCCCTTGGATACAGTATTCTCTTGATGGTCACTTGTACTGTCTATGCCATTAAAACAAGAGGTGTCCCAGAGACTTTCAACGAAGCCAAACCTATTGGATTTACCATGTATACCACCTGCATCATTTGGTTAGCTTTCATTCCCATCTTTTTTGGCACAGCTCAGTCAGCAGAAAAGGTAAGTGTCAAGAGCTGCATTTCTCAATGTCTTTCCCTGGCTTTAACTTCTTCTTGGAGGATATTTTCCCTCCCTCCTATTGGCATTCTCTGCGGTTTATGTCATTCACATTTAGGGATCCATCTCTGAAGGTCAATTTCTTTTGAGTATGTGTTGATTCTTTTTTGAGGATATTTTCCTTCCTTCCTATTGGTTCATTGGTATTCTCTGAAGATGCTGAGGTGTATGCCATTCACATTTAGGGATCCATCTGGGAAGGTCATTTTCTTTTGAGTATGTGTTGACTATGGCTGATTGTCCATGAGGAACACTTGAATAGATCCTCCTTGGCCAGGGTGGAGTCTGACAGACCTCACATCACTTTCTTGGTCTTTCTTTCCAACTCCTTTATCTCCCAACATCTCTGTTCTTTTCTAAATTCTAATTACAAAAGGGAAGAGAAAGGATGGACGCGGTGATAGAAATGAGCTGACCTGGAGATATCTCAGTGCATGCCAAATGCCTCCTTTTTGATTCTAATGTGGATAACACCATGTCTTTATAATTATTATGATTTTTATTATAGTCAAACAATCACACCAGAAATAAACCAAAAGGCTTCAGTTGGAACCATTTTACTATTTCCACTCAGTCTCCTCTCTTGTTACCTTCCCACGTGATGATAATGAGAGGCAAGGATTGGAGAGGACAGCAATGAACAGTGACATAAAGCAGTATATGTTTGTTTTTGTTTTTGTCAGAAGGTGAAGATTGATTGAACTTTCCTATATAAGAAAAGGAGCTATACTTTTCCTTTGTCACAACTCTCCCCCCATCAAACTTTGTGGTCTGAAACACTGTCAGGGCAGAACATCTGCATGTGAAAGAGAACAGTTGCTGAACTGGATGTGTGTCCTACTTTGTAAGCCCAGAGAAGTAGAGAAGTAAGGTCACCCCTGAATTCTGAGGTATGGGTAGTAGCCTGGGATAGAAAGAAGCCAGCTAGAAATTAGGCAAGTGCCATCTTTCTGCAATGGATAGCCCTTCATCCCTCGTGTGTGTTGGAGAAAATTCTCTCAAAGTGAGACCTTGACAAAACAAAGTGTTCCATCTTCCACCTTCAGGCCAAGTTGTGAAGGGATCAGAGATCCTGGGAGTATTTATATTGCCTAGGCCATAGCATTCCCAAGCAAGGCTCCGCATGATCCTTAAGTTCCAGCTAATTCAGAGGAAAGCACTCAACAGGGAACAGAGAGCTCATTAGTATGAGCATTCATGCCTTACCCAATCAATGCGGCCTTCAACAGGGTTTGGACAAAAAATGTACTTCAGCATACTTGCTGTAGCGGAGAAGAAACTTGCATTGGATTCCAAGCCCATGACCTTTCATGACTCCTATGGTCTGGTGGAAGTCATGAATATTTTACATAGGACCAAACACTCAGCAGGGAAGTAAAATAAGGCAATTTGCAGTTCTACAACCAAGAAGAAGAAAACTTTCTATTTTGACATATGCAGATGGAAACTTATTAAGATCAAGATTGTTTGTTTAATTTAGGAATGAAACGTCTAAGTTGGGAAATAAGTTTCTCAAAGTGTCTATGGGGTCTTTTTTTTTTTTTAATGGTTAGTAGAACTAATCAGGGCAAATCAATGTTTTTGAGACTTTGGAAATGCCTAATTATTAATACCATCAACTTAAGCAGGACTTATATTTGCTTTGAAACTAGAATTGCCTTTTTCACATTTTGTTTTATCCAGAGAGGGCCATAATAAATAGTGTTTCTGCTTTTAGGTATACAATAAATATTTGAACCAAACAAAATCTCCTGAGCTCTGTCATCTAACTTCTTTTATTTTTTTCTTTCTTCACATCTTTTAAATTATTGCCCGTTTCTATTCTTAATATAATAACTTCCAAGGGCCAGGGAGATAAATTAAATGTTATTTCATTAACTTAGCCAGTGATTCCATATTTAGAATAAGCAAACATGATGGTAATCAAACTGTTGATAGCATCATAGAACTTCAAATGTGCATAAAAGTAAGGGATTTTTTTTTTTTATATAAGAGGAAAAATGACTATTACTAATGTATATGTTGTTCTTGTTAAGTACCATGGAGTCAGTTCCAACCCTCTATAGGGTTTCTGAGGAAGGGCTGGTGAGCTTGAACTTCAGACTTTGTGGTTCAAACGACATTGCAGTCCAGCACATTAATGCACAGAGCCACACCAGGACTCCACTAATGTATATAATTATGAACCAATAGATCTATTTTGGAAGAGGTGCAGCCAGAGTGCTCCTTGGAGACCAAGATGGCTAAATTTCGTCTCTCATACTTTGGACATATTGTCAGGAGGGAATAGTCACTAGAGAAGGATGTCATGCTGGGTAAGATGGAGGGTAAGAGAAAGAGAGGAAGACCCCCAACGAGATGGATCAGCCAGGTGACATCATTGATGGACTCAAGTGTGGAAGTGGTAATGAGGTTGGCCCAGGATCGGACATTGTTTTGTTCTGCTGTGCATGGGGTTGCTATGAGTCAGTTCCGACTTGATGGCACCTGACAACAACAACGATATGTTTATATCATGCCCTGGTGTGATGCTACTAATTAAGGCACTAGACTGCAAGGTCGATTTGCACTGCAAGGTCGGCAGTTCAAGCTCATCCGCTGCTCCTCAGAAACACTATACAGGGTTGCTATGGGTCAGAACCGACTCGGTGGCACTTAACAACAACATAGATGGGCTCCTTGTGGTGGTGGTTATGTGTTATGTGCCATGAAGTTGGTCCCAACTCATAAGTAACCCTGTATATGGTTTTGAGGTTGTAAGTCTTTACTGGAGCAGAAAGCCTCATGTTTCCCCCATGGAGCTATTGGTGGATTCAAATGTATTTCTTTTCCTTGCTAGTGTGGAATTAACATTAAGTCAGAGGAGGAAATAACAGATCATAAAATTTTAATTGGAATTTATTTTGCATTTATATATGATTAAATATGTTGTTGTTGTTAAGTGCCTTGGAGTCGGTTCTGACTCAGAGCCCATATAGAGTTTCTGAGGATCAGCTGGTGAGTTTGAATCGCTGAACTTGTGTTTCAAACTATGCTTTTTAAGGAGCCTGGGAGCTACAGTGGTTAAAGTGTTCAGTTGCTAACCAAAAGGTGTGCAATTCAACTCACCAGTTGCTCTGGGGGCAAAAGCTGAGTTAGGTGGCCCCCACCTAGATTACTATTCTTGGAGACTCTGTGGAGGCAGGTCTACTCGGACTAATAGCATCACTATGAGTCAGAATCAACTCCATGATGTGGGTTTGGTTTTGTGCTTTTTTTTTTTGCCATATCTCTTAAAATTTCTAAAATTAGTTTCAACCTGACTTTACGGTCTAGTGCGTATTCTACAGTGCCACACCCAAACTCAATGATTGAGTGTAGAAAATATTGAAGAAACCATAAAACGGGTGGGTTGAATCGCACACCTGTTGGTTAGCAACTGAACACTTCAACCATTGTACCACCTAGACTTCTTAAAAGATATTGTTTGTTGGTGTTAAGTACTATTGAGTTGATTCCAACTCATAGCAACCCTGAATTGGGTTTCTGAGGAGCAAGCAACTGGTGAGTTTGAATGCCAATATCATGGCTCAAACCAAAGATGCAGCCCTGCACCTATCCTACAGTCCCACACTAGCACATTGTTGTTAGGTGCCATCAAATTGGTACTGACTTATAGCCACCCTATCTATGCACAACAGAACCAAACACTGCCTGGTTCTGGGCCAACCTCACAATTGTTGCCACACTTGAGCCCACTAATGCTGCCACTTTGCCAATCCATCTCACTGCGGGTCTTCCTCTTTTTCTCTGACCCTCCACTTTACCAAACATGATATCCTTCTCCAGTGATTGGCCCCTTCTGACAATGTCTGAAGTATGTCCACCTTGACCTCCAACGGGTACTCTGGCTGCACTTCTCCCAACACAGATCTCTTGGTTCTTTTGGCAGCCCATGGTACTTTCAGTGTTCTCCTCCATGATTCAAATGCATCGATTCATCTATGGTCTTCCTTATTCCCTGCCCAGCTTTTGCATGTGTATGAGGTTATTGACAATACCATGGCTTGGGTCAGGTGCACCTTAGTCCTCAAGCTGACATCTTTGCTCTTCAGCACTTTAAAAAAGTTTTGTGCAACAGATCTGTCTAATGCAATACGTCATTTGATTTCTTGACTGCTGCCATCATGAGAGTTGATGGTTGATCCCCCAAAAATGAAGTCCTTGACAACTTCAATCTTTTCTACATTGATAAGAATGTTGTTTATTGGTCCAGTGGTGAGGATTTTTGTTTTCTTTACGTTGAGATGCAATCCATACTGAAGACTGTGGTCTTTGATCTTCATCAGTAAGTATTTTAAGTCCTTTTCACTTTCAGCATGCAAGGTTGTATCATCTGCATATCACAACTTGTTAATGAGTCTTTCTCCAATCCTGATGCCATGTTTTTCTTCATATAAGCCAGCTTCTCAGATTATTTATTTGCTCAGCATAAAGTTTGAATAAGTATGGTGAAAGAATACAACCCTGTTGCACACAGTTCTTAATTTTAAACCATTCAGCCTTCCCGTGCTCTGTTCGCACAACTGTCTCTTAGTCTGTGTACAGATTCTTCATGAGCACAATTAAGTGTTCTGGAATACTCATGCTTCGCAATGTTGTCCATAGCTTGTCATTATCCACACAATCGAAAGCCTTTGTGGAGTCAATAAAGTACAGGTAAACATCTTTCTGGTATCTACATCAATAACTACCAATTATAAATAGTTAATATTTTGCTACTGAGGCACTATATATGATACAATGATATGTAATTTTATTTTATTTTAAAAAAATTCTATCTTCTATTCTCGCAGCATTTTTATTATTCAAAACGACATATAAAGGGCTTAAGAATATCTTCATTGCTCTTTTTCTCCACATTGTTGAAATGATTGGCACTAACATTAAAAACTAATATAAAC